GCGGTCCTCCCCTGGGGGTGGGTGGGCATGAGAGGTGTCCGGCCGATTTGGCGACACGTTGTCTGAGCTGCAGATATTAAGAGAATAGACAGCACAAAAGAAACAGCTCTAGTGATTGAACAGGGAGACGCATTGGAGCGAGATACCAGAAGCTGTTTTGATGGTTAGTGTGTTAGTGTGTCCGTAGCCAAAATAAAAAAATACATAAACTGCATTTTAGGGTGGGCGGTGGGCACCAAGCTTAGCACACAGTCAGCTTAGTGCAAACACAACCACAAGCACAAAGAAACAGCAAAGGAAAAGAACGTTTTATTGCCGAAGGAAAATAATAACGTGTATAGGACTCCCTCTGTGTTCACCTTGTGTCTGCAACACTGCATGGAGCTGTGAGGATCTGTCTCTAAAGCCAAAGTGCTGGTCTGCAGCTTACAATATTATCCAGCTGAGCTGATGACTAAATATCTCTCTGCAGCATATGGAAACCCTATCTGCCCTTATCTGACAGTATAAGTCTTGTTTGCATGGCAGGTCCTGCAGTCAGCCCAGGGCAGTGTGAAACAGACACAAAACCCTTTCATCGGCTGAAAGAGCCACAGGATAGGAGGGAAAAGCCAGCCAAGCCAGAAGCCATATTATCTCATCTGCCACACAGGCAGAGCCAGCGACCATGAGGTGATTATTCACGTTTTTAACTATGATAATCATACCAGAAAATGGTGAAATCAGTGTCAACAGAAAAGGAAATAATTCACAACCAAAGCCGAGAAAGCCAAGCCACAACAATGGGATATTGGAAATATTAGCATGCTCGCAAAGGACTTGCAGATTGAAGCTTAGTGCCAGGTACAGAATCAAAACTTCCAAACAGTAGTTGGACTAAAACCCTTTAGAGTTAGTCAAAAGTGTCATTTTCCTTTTGAAAGGTTAACCCACAAGGACATAAACCTGACAAACCACAGGGTGAATATAAGAGATGTAGAGAGTGAGAAATTATAATAACAGAATGAGACCTTAAGGTGTTGACACGATGCACAAACAAAAAATACAAATTAAAGTGGCAATAGGCACGTATTTCATTTGAAATATTATTAATACATCTTAACCTCACAATGTAATGGCTATATATTACAACATGAGCATTTAGATTGCTTCCATATAAGCATGTGCTAATTCTGTACCTACCACCGGGTACAATTTGCAATGCATTTCTTGTTTTATCTATAATGATCTGAATAAGGCCATATAAATGTTTCTAGTAGGCTCTGAGGAAAACGGCGAGCAGCAGTATGGATGGAAAGTTGAACATGGTTCCATTGCCACTTTAATGGAAATATGATTAAAACAGCCAAGGATCTTGTTGAGAAAGTTGATGATGGTGACGATAATGGGGATGACAATTAAATAAACAGGAGTGGATGTGTGAGGAAGAGGGGGACAAGGTCTCCACTGTGACTTACCAAATCCTTTCTCCCAGTGGGGGGGTTGCAGACGGGGAGCAGGCGAGCTCTCCGGGCTGCTCGGGTATGAGCGTGTCCACGGAGCCCTGCAGGCCTGGAGGGGTGGAGGAGGTCTTTCGCGTCAGAGTGGCCGAACCCTTACGAGACACCCAGGAAGTATCCATAACCCGCACGCCCATACTAGAGACAAACACATCAAGGGTCATATATAATGACGAAGAAAGGGCTGAGTTGGGGAAAGGTAAGGAAAGAAGTGGGGAAACAGGGCATGATACGGTACCTTTGTATCTTCCTAATGCTGCGTTAGTAGGGGGAAGAGAGGCAAAAGGAATATGAGGTCAGTGATGCAGACAGGGTTCACAACAGGGTTCACAAACACTCAGTACACTTTATGATGGGGAGATGAGAGCACCAATGGCAGGGAGGAGTAGAAGGGATGTTCCAGAGGTGAGAATATGTCAGCCCACATAACCTGCCTGCACTTATAATGAACCGGTCTGCACTTATACTGAACCCAAATTAAAGGCGTGTTTTTGGCTAATGCTGGTCTAATAAACACCTTAAAACATAGACAAGGAACACTGTTTATCCCAAGCTGCTCTTTGCTCCAAATAGTACACACACACTTTATTTGTATATAGGTTTTGTCATTTTATTTTCTATCTAGCAATATGGATATAGTCTTTTGATTTTGGGATGCAAAGTGCTCCAATTCTACCAGTGATTTTCCACCAGCTGGATGAATGACTCAGGCCAGGTGACGTGCTAGCCAGACTGTGAAGGAGGAGCTGGGTGTGGGAGGATGGTAAGAAATATTTCCTGAGAAAAAAAAAGAGGTAACCAGCAGCCCTTCATCAGAGACTCGTTGCCATAGAGACAATGCCACTCAATTTGATGCAGCGCCATGTATTCAAATGAGACTCAGGCTTCTGTGCTCCTAATAGTATGGGTTGTATGTGCCAGAATTAGTGAGATATGCGGCCTAATCCACACCTCTGCATGGCTTTTGGAGGGTCCAGGGATTAAGATATAGGTTAAAGTTGTTAATGGCTTTATAATGGCTGCCTCAAATATAACAAAAAAATTAATTAGATGCCTGTGAAGAGGTGTGGGTGGAAAGAGAGAAAACAGAGTGAGAGTGAGATGTGGGCAGCAGAAGGATGCACTTGGCATCATACCCATCCTTCTTGTAAAACTCCAGCATCATGTTGTCCGTGGCAACACTCAGTGGCCGTCGGGTCTGGTCGTGCTGCTGCTTGCGCTCCGATTGGTCCAGGTCTGGTGAGGGCATGGAGCTGTAGTTGGAGTTGTGGTTGCTGTGGATTGGACTGCCGTAGCACCCTGTCAAGTTGAATTCAATCTCTGAAGAAGGAGCAGACACACCATCAGCATTCATAACTGTTATGGACATTGTGGTGTTGGTGTGTGAATGTGTTGGTCATTGTGGAGTCTATCACTTTTATGTGGGAGTTACTACTACTAGTCTAGTCAATCTCTACTTAAATCCACTTAAAAACTTAAAAAAGTTATACTTTTTTTTGTTTTAATCTACTTAAAATAAAATGTATTTTTCAAATACAGTATTATAATGATCGTTAATGTTTTGATTATTTCAGAGAGTAACATTATTGCATGGTTTTAATCAAAAGAGTAACACAAAAATATATGGAGAATAATTGCTGGTGTTTTTACAGTTTATCAGACTTGTGCAAACAGGAAGTGACTGCATGGTCTACTGCCTGAATGCAGGGGTTGATGATGCTGAAGCTTTATTAAAGACATCAGATCAGTTTTAGCTTCATGTATGTTTTTGTTGTGACATTTGGGTATATGTTGTTTGATGTGGTGCTTTTATTTGTGAACTGACACACATGAAGGAGAAACATCTTATTCATATAGGTCTGAGTCAAAGGAAGTGACAATATATTAATATTCTATTAAGTAGTTCATACTAGTACAGTTAATACGTTTTTCACGCATTTTTCAGAAAAAGTCTATTTTTACCATTGCTTGTAATATTAATTAGGTCGAACTGGGTTGTAAAAATTGCAGGTCATACCCTAAAATATATACAATTTAATTGAATTTTAAAAGCCATTATACCATTGGAATGATTGAAGATCAATAGATATATATGGCACCCAGCCTTACTACAATTTGACATACATAGTATGAGATCCCCACCTCCAGGGAAGAACCAGTCAGCATGCTGAATAATGGGCTCAACGATGCTAACAATCTGTAGGGACAGGGTGGTCATCATCTCCGTCATGTTCCTGGAAAGAAAAGAGATAATTAAACCGCAGTAAAATCTTATGCGATAAGTGAAGGTAAGGTAGATGTGTTACAACAAGAAATACATACGATTCAGTGTGTGTCCAGAGCAAGTTAGGACCAAGAACAATGGCCTGGTTACCGGGAGTCATCTTATTGTCGTCTTGGAAGTCGGTTAGCTTGGCTAAGAATTTGATTAGATATCTGTGGGATTCGAATAAAAGCAAAATAATAAAATGAAACTATACTGCATTTTTTAAAAGTGTAAAAGCCACATGGGAACATTATTATAGGACAGAAAATAAGGGAAAGTGACTGACCTGAAATTGTTCAAGTTGTCTGTCGGGAGTTTTTCACACACTGCCATTAATGCTTGAAGCCTCTTCTCCAAATCTGGGATGCTGGAGAAATACAAATCATAAATCATGATGGTTACACTGTTGCTCTATTACTAAATAAATGTCACCATTTTGGCAGTAGAGACTCCCTTTATAATGGACTATTCTGTCTTTTATCTAGGCCAATGACATAATTGAAGAAAAGGCAATTTAAAAAAAGAGAACAGCAACTCACTTGGAGGCCTGAATCCATTCATCATAAAGTTCAGTGGTCATCAGTGGCTCAGGGAGCTCACGGAGGTATGATTTCAAAGCCCCTTTGGTAAGAAAAACAGGGAGAAAGTGAAGACCAGTTTGCTCTTTTAGAGGAAGGGAGGGTGTTGTTCCCTCTTCAGAGCACTGGTGAGGCGATGCCCCATATCTCCACTACCCTCCAGCAGGCCCTTGCAGCAAGTGTAACTGCCAAATTCAGATAGCTCAACAGATTTCATGCTAAAGTGTGAAATGCACAGCAATATCAGAACAGAAAGGCTTCAGGAACATAGCACTAGGGTTAGAGCTGATGAAGTTTGAACAACGCTTGTAGACAAATAACAGTATTTTCTGGCAACTACGTCCAAAACCAATCAAAACTTTTGATATGACCTTTAACAAAATTGCAGATTCCACATCATAAAACAACTGGCAGATACAAGTAACAATCATTGCCTTTAACATAGAAGGATAAAGAAAGTGTGTAGGGGTTGTTGTTATGGAAATGGGCTTTAAACAAGGCATTCGTGTGGGAGTGTTGTTCACCTGCGATGGCGTGTGGGTCAGAGGAGTACTCCTGCACATCCAGAACTCCACAGTCCAGGGAGGCTTTCAGCTTCTTCAGCTTGGAAGCTGATGGAGCGATTCTGAAGAGGCCCTGCAACCCACACGCAGGAAACACATAATCATGTGTAATTATCACATCTAACATGACCTGTGCATAAATGCTGTGCAAAATTCATAGCCATTATCGTTGAACACTTGACATTGGCTGATGATAAATAACACAGAAACAAACTGCTGGCTTTACATACTTTTGTCCATTAATATTTTAATGTAAACCATCTTTATAGCTTGCTGTCAGATTTTAATTGGTTAGCACAAACATATTAAAATCGTAAAGATGATTAGTGAGCTCAGTCTCCAACACATGTTTCCTGTTGCAAAGATGTTACTACTCGGATTCTAAACTTCACAATTCAATAATTTGAATTAAAAGGTCAAGAAGATCAGAGCCAATTACAACTCTTAAAAATGAGTCATTCCAGGCAGACAACGTCAGGTTTAAACTATGGACTGAATAGTGGAAGTACATCTCTGTGTGCTGAGATAGTCTAAACTAAATAATATAAACACAATCAACTTTTAAAGGTATTTTTAAAATGTATATTAAATCCCATACAGTACAGCATATTTGTAATAGAAAGATTGATAAGTTTAAGCACCAAATGACACATACACAAGAGGACAAATGCATATTAACTTACACCAAAAATACCTAAGCGATGTGTCTGTCAATTTGTATGTGTATATGTGTGTGTTTGTATGTCCTCTACCTCCTCTTGCATGCCACACTCTAACAGCATTGTGACACAAGCTTCAATGGGGAAGGCAATCTCTCTCCCACTAATATTCAGGTGATCCTCCAGAGACTTGCCATACGACGGCTTCTCCACCCACGCTTCTGCAACACAAAACAGTCGCTTGAATTGCACATAGACACAACAGCAATTACATATATGTTTCTTGTTATTTAGCACAGTTAGCATAAGTAGGGAGGTGAAGGTATAGCTTAATACGATTGTTATATGACATTTCAAGGCTGTTATTACTTCAGTGCACATTTGGAGCATATTTCTTCAGACACACGCATGGGCAAACACACACGCATATGCATGCACTCATACTCACACACACACACACACACACACACACACACACACACACACACACACACACACACACACACACACACACACACACACACACACACACACACACACACACACACACACACACACACACACACACACACACACACACACACACACACACACACACACACACACACAGGAGAAGTAAACTGGACACACACAAAGGAGAGCTTGACACGGTAGACTTACCTTGGTGAGCTTTTATCTGGGGCAGGATACTCTGAAGAATCTCTAATGACTTCCTGTGATACTCTGCCTGCGTTTCTATTAGCTGTGGAAGGAGAAGAGATTATAACAAACACAACATGATGAATGAATGAATTGTGTATAATGTACAATGTTAATTGTAACCTGTGCTAGCATGGGATCAAATATTTTATTTGTAAAAAGTAAGGATAATATATACTTACTGTCTGGAAGTAATTTGCATAGTCTATTTCTTTGGCCACAAAATTGTACATATCTGCTGACAACTGATCCTGAAACAGAAAATAGAGAGCAACCATCTCATACAGTAATAAATAATCTAATATATGGTAAATGCAACTGTAATATCATCCTGATATAGTGGTCCATTTGTGTCTGATACATTCAGAATGGCTATAAATCAAATGGAAGAGCTGGAGGAGGGATATACTGTATATTAGAATTGCTCTGATTGGAGACTTACCCTACATATCTCCATCCGATTGGCTGCCTCCTCCATCTCCTCTCGGAGAGACTCTGCCTTGGCGCCGGGCTGCAGTGTGCTTGGGTGACTAGATGACTTGGACGATTGATGAAATCTATAGAATAGAGTACAAAACAATGACCAATGCACTGGATATAATAGCTTCCTGATCATTTCTTTTTCAAATAAATTAAACAAGAGGCTCTTAAATAGGACGTCATATACCTTGTTCTAGCTGAGTCCATGTCCAAAACAAGTTTGGCTAAGTGCTTCCTCTGTTTCTGGATGTTTGGAATGTCCACCTTTAAAAGAAAAGAAGTGCTTGACTAAAGTCAGTAAATGTAATATAAGTGTAGCACTAAATGAGGACCATGTGCTGCTTGTCATTTTTGGAAAAAAGTGAAATAGCTTATAGAAATATTATTAGGTTGATATGTCTTAATTGAAGCTCACCTCAGCGAGCACATACATAGGCTCCACCACATCTCTTTCTATCTGAAACTCAAACAGGATGAGCTCCTGGGCCAACTTCTCCTCCGTCTCCCCACACATCATCAGCATCTTCCTGTTTGATGACAGCCAAACACAAAGTCAAAGGCATCAAACACAATTAAAATGCAGACAAGGGTAATGAGGACAGAGAAGAAATCAATAGTCGAATCAATAATTAAAGATGACTCCATGTGTGTGGGTGTCAATGGAAAGTGTGTGAGCTAAGTCCTGTTAAATACAGGGACTTACCCCAGGAGAGAGTCATCCCCCAACACAGCAGCTCCTTCTACCATACATTGTGCAAGGATGGTGAGCGGTAGTTTCTTCTAATAAAAAAAGATAATAATACAAAAGCTTTGGTGAGAATGATAGACGGTTATGAATACTTTTTAGCTGCATCATCGCACGTATGTTCACATCAGTTTGCATCAGTATTCAGTGTCTCAGAGGATGATGGCTGCAGTTACTCACGGAAGGAGACTTGACAGATCTCTTCTCGACATCGGCCCCCTGCTGACCCTGCAGGCAGGCCGTCAGCTTCTTGTGAGTGCTGTGTGTCACCTGCTTGACCAGATCCAGACGCTTCTCCACCTGGAAGAACACACACACATCAGAAACGTCTTGCTGTCACAACACACACCCAACACATCTGACATTTGTTCTGCAGCGTCAGACATCTGCACCTGCTATTATATACATGGTAAAGTTTATCAATGAAAAGGTTATGGATATTCACAAACTGCAATGATTTATATTCAATTGAAATGAGGATAACTGGATGTTGTGATGGGCCTTTTTCATTTTTCATTCATAACATTTGATTAATTAAAAATAATCATCACATATTGGATGATTGAGTGGAAGATCCAGACTGAGCCCATTTGAAGGTTGTAAATAATCAAAGAAAAGGTGAAAAGAAAAAAGCTTTTCTGCCAAAAAAACTAATTATACTTTCTTGTACAGTTTTATGAAATACTGTATAGTAGCACTGTCTTCCTTTAAAACGTTTTAAATCAAACAACCAGAGAATCAATCTTTAATTAACCAAAACACAAAGGTATGTACCCTGTGACAAAACCTTGCTTCCCTTTGAAGGGGCCCAAAGACAAAACAATCTCCATCATAATCACATTATTTACACCTGTTTACGCACGCACGCACGCACGCACGCACGCACGCACGCACACACACACACACACACACACACACACACACACACACACACACACACACACACACACACTCACTCACCTGTAGAAGGTCCTCGCTTAACACCTCTGTTTTCTCGGCCCTGTAAAGATGAAAATGTAAAACAGTAAGGGTATTTATCTAGGGGAGACATTATTAGCATTATTTGGTGCTGGTATTTTAAAACATTCTCTCTATAAACATTGAAAATCAGGAGACTGAAATATCCATTTCCTATTATCATCATCATACAACTTGTTTTGCCACAAGGGAAAACTTAAATTCTCAACTAGAGAACATGAAGATATGATATTAAATAACAAAACTTTTGCAATAAGGCACAAGCAGTGGCGTGTCTTTTCCAAAGATATTCACAATTTGTGAAATAAAGTCCCAGCTGTATTGCACTGGATGTTGACTCATTCCCTGAGTTTCGTTGCACATCATCAATGTGGCAGTGCTCCAAAGTTGGTGGGCTGCATCCATGCACTTGTCCCTTTAGCGAATGTGAGTGTATGGGTTTGACTGTCTCTCTCAGTCATGATTTAAGATGATCCATAAAGGGAACACATTAGTTATCAGGCGAACTATTCATGTTGTAAACTCGCTGGAGTTTTCTAAGCGTATACAAAACAAGCAGGACCGCAGCGAGCAAAGGCCGCTGATACAAATATGCCGTTCCCACTGAGGAGCATCACATCCCACTGCGAATCCAGCAGACTGGGGACTTAGCCAAAGACTGAAGGAAAGGGCAGAGAGGTACTGCTGCTAAAGCAGATCAAACTACTCATCCGGAGTATTGAATGAGCCATAAGCTTAGAAAAGAGCAAACCACTGGATATCATAAATATAAAGTGTCCAGTCAGTTAAACAGCTTATATTTTAAGACTTTAGTCCTTTTCCTGAGGCAGGTTTTCCAACAGAGATTAATGTCAATGTAATGACAAATTGTCTTAAAGCAGCACTAATTACATCATTTTGGGTTGTTTTTTGGAATTCCATTAAACATTTTGACTTCCACAACACACAACAATGAACACATCTAAAGCAACAATCCAAGACTTATCAGGACCGCCTTATCAAAAAGGAGGAAAACATTTACTTCCTGCTCAAAAGGTCAGGTCCAGTAGGGTCCTGTAGACCCCAAGCAACCACCCAGTGGGGCGCATTTCTCTCTCTACGCTTTCCCTTCCCGTCTGTACAACCTCTTCCTGCTATTGTGCCCCAACCATGCCAATGCCAGTTGTGAATAGTAGTTTTTTTAATCATTTATTTTTAAAAATAAATCTGAATTCATCTCTCTGCTGCCCAAGAGAATGGAACAGACTTTGTTTTGTGCTCTATTATTCATCAGCCAGACCAAAACACATCAGCAACACAATACTGAAATGCTCTTTTCATGTATGATGCCTCGTCACCAAGTCAATCCAACACATCGCATAGCAGCTCTGTGTTGCCCCCTGCATAGTGTTGATGGAACATTTTTTACAAGAAATGACAGTTTGAGAATGGCAGAAAATAAATGGACCACCGTTTGTCTCTGTTTAATATTGACATGATGTTGTGTATTTACATATTCCATATGATATGGCCTACAATACAACGCTGCTTTCCAGTAAAGAAGTCCGTTATTAGCTGCTCTCAGTGCCAAGATGTGAGTGTGGTGCCAGGGGAACTGGGTCAAACCATGTACCAATGGATCTAATCACAGTCCGCCTGCTGGAAAACTGCTCTGCTCACTAAGGGAGGAGGAAAGAATACAGGAAATTCGTGCAAGTTAAAGAGGGAAAGAGAGCATGATGGTAGAGCAAGGAGTCTGGCATGATTTGTAAGGATAAGTGTGATCGCAGATTGCTGATTACATGCGAGGGATACAAATAACCCAAGCACTAAAGTTTGGCTCAGTTTTGCTGCGACACTCCAACAGCCGCTAGAAATCTGTAAAACGCAATGTTCCATGAAATACCTTGTAGGCAGGACTGTCAAATGTATACCATGCTGAGTGTGGAGCCTGCAGGTCTGCAATGCAGCTGTGAGCTCGTCACTGAAATGTCCTTACATTGACTGGCAAAGATGTCCCATAGGAGACTCTGGCAGCAGAGGAGCTCTAATAGGAACCCAACAGCACAGATGGGACAGGAGACAGTGACAGGGACGTGGAGAAGTGAACAATGTGCTAGAAGTTTTAATAGTGGGGGCCGTCCTGCCATCTCCAGGGAAAGTGTGGGAATGTTTCCTTGAAGGTTTGAATCCACGCTGAACTCATGTAAAGTACATGTCTAAAGGGTGGGTAAAACATACAATTATTTGATTGCATGTTACATTATTTATTATTCTTTGTTAAGAATAAGAGATTGTAATTGATGCGTTACAGTTATGAAATATAGATTGTGACACAAACTGTTCTCTGCACTGCTCTCATTACGTTAGGATGCAGAATCTCAAAATGACTGCTAATACACCGGAGATTGTCATTCAACTTGTCAGCAATGTGGAGGTTGTTCCTATTCATTTAGTTCAGTCAATAGGAGGCTAATTTATAAAGTTAATCAACCTCTTTGGTTTTAAATGTGCTTAAAGTGTTGCAGTTTTTCTCAGCTTGTCTTGGTTTACATCACTAGATTCAAAGTTAAATGCAGGCATCTGGTGTTCTGGCTAACCACAACTGATGTGGCCATTATGACCCAGAAGACTTCAAACAGATTTGATCTTCAAAGACAGGAGGCCGTCTTGTTCTTTGAGCTTGTTTGTTTTCAGACAGTGGTATTTCCTCTTAGGAAAGCACTACCCCACATCACCAGCCTGTGAAGGCACAGAGACAAAATGCAATTGCATAGGCTGGATTGAGTACAGGGGGTGATGGAGCTTCTATACACTCTGATGTAAAGCTAAGCCGCAGGATATTTTGGAGGTGAGGAGTGAAATTCCTCCTCAAATAGTGTGCACAATGAGTCCTGCGGGGAAAGTAAACACGTGGGAGAGTTGGCAGCCATGTGGGCGGTGTGCACATGGAGAGAGAGGAAGACTTTGCCAGTGTTATGCCAACCATCTGCCACTTTGCAGGCATTCGTTTACCTGGAGCTGCTGATGACTCAATACAAATATACACACACACACAAAACTCCTATAATACAGATTAGTTATATCAGGTCAAAAAACTGAAATGTATAATCAAATTAAAATAGACAAAAACTTGCTTTCTTTGAAACATCAGTGGAAAAAAATCGAACCAACGCAGACAACTGGATTAACATGAATTTGTACAGAAAATATTCACAAATAAAGATGTACGGCCAGACTTTGATAAAATCCCTCTCCTCCTCTGGTGAAATTCACAAAATGCTGATATGATAAGAAGAAGAAAGGTATCTTGACAACATCTGGGCTTTTGTGTTTACAGCTGGCTAAAGAAACTGAAAATACTGTGTGCATATTTCCCGGGGAACCTAATACATTCTAAGTAATTGTTGGAAGTGAAATGTGAATACCAAATATTCTATTGATCATTTATAGATCAGCTGCACATATTATTACAAATATTTCTTATTTAATAAACAAGTATAGTAATATGTTAATGTTGGAACCCCTTGTGCTCAGTCCCCCCAGCACTGTGCATGGTTAATGAAAGCATGAATAATCCATGTTGACATAATCAAACTGTGAATTAAATAACATCCCTAGTCTTGAACATTTCGCCATGGCAGCTAGCCAACTGTTTGCTGTAACACCTTCCGTTCACAGTTCCACCTGATTCATCAGAACAATAGGAAAGTGGTCATGCTCTGGTTTGCTCACACTGCTAGCCTGGCTAACAAAAGCGCTAACTCCTGGTCCCGGTTAGAGCTGAGCTAGATGCTAGATCCGGTGCTGCGAGGGGGGGTAGTGGAGCAGAACGGTGGCCCTGGGCCTCAGCAGGGCACCACACGGCCTGGAGCACTGGCATGAGATGCACAGTCAGCCACATATACACAGTGACACACACACACTGATACAAAACTATTTTCACGCTATATGCTCTCTAAATGTTCCTCCATTTACTGTTTTTTCCCTCCAGACCTTTGCTGTGCAAACGCGTCTAGAGGCCCACTTGGTTTCCTCCCAAATGACAAGGCGGAGGGCTGATGGTACTCAAGGTTACTAAAACAGAAAAACCCACTTACTGTAGTTGTCCAGCAAACTAGGTCACAGATCTGTTAAGTATGCAAGAATAACTGAGAGGAGTGTACATACACATGCAAACGAGCAAGACACACACATGTCCAGAGAGAGAGAGAGAGAGAGAGAGAGAGAGAGAGAGAGAGAGAGAGCCTGCAGCATTCAGCAACGTTTCACTTGAAACACAAGCAGTGAGTTATCTCTAATAACTTTACTCATGGTGAATAATCTCCACAAGAAGCACTGGCATCTGCCCCAACACAAACACGCTGCCCCTGAACAACAAGTCAGATCTCCAGAAGAGAGCATCATTTAAGTTGGTATGAATGTTTTACTTCATGATCACCCAGCCATAGATGGAAACATTGTCCCATGCCATAAGTCGTTGTCAGTTCTCAAAAAGAGGAAATATTCTTTTCCCCTTTTGAAAATGTAACATGTGGGTTGGCAAAGCCGAGCGAACGTGATAAAACAGCCAATACCAAATGAGCGTATCTAAGCAACCAAAGGGCAAGTACAAGATTTAACATTTACTGCACAGAAAAGAGAGATGGAGTACTGTCTTCTTTTATCAAAGAGCAAGACTTTAAATTAACAATAAGAAACTCTTATTAGTGGAATAGTGCTTCCTGTTTTCTGCCTATTGGCATTCCTGAATGGAAGGAAGTGAGCATTTCGATAGGGAGTTGCCCATCTCCTTTGGAGAACTTAGTTATTTCTAACAACAATGCCACTCTCTTACTGCAGTGTATTACTCAGAATAATGCAGCAGTTTACCGAATGAAGGCCTTGGGTTGTACAGAACAGAAATAATAAGCCTTAAAGCAGAGCACAAAACACTATGCGAGTAACATTCTGATGTCTCACTTATTACCTATTTCTGAGTACTCTTACAGCTCCATATAACACTGCTTTTATACTAATAAAATGTTTCTTTTGGTGAAGAAAAAATATAAAGCTACCTCACCAGCAAGTGTATTATCAAAAGGAAAACTAATAATACATGTAAATGTATACACTCTTTAGATGCTGCCTTGCTCCTGAATGCATTGCAGATTGAATGGCATCTGGTTCAATTGCTGCATTTCAGTCAGGCTCTAGGTGACATTATGAGCAGCAGACTAGGTCAACCCCGACATCTGTAACACAACAAAATCAAATCAAATATCAAAAACAAAATCAGTGCAAATGAGTCTGTTGGCATCAAGCAGCCGTCCCCAAAGCTGTATGTGTGCCATGCTGTTTATCAAATTACAAACATGCACAATACACTTTTGTCGATTTTGTAGTTGACTACCAGTACAGGGGCTCTTTAAGAGGTTAGTCCTTTGATTGAATGAGCGACAGAAAGGGAGAAACAGGGCTTCTGACAGATATTACATCATCTCTCTTTTGATGGCTAAAATGGCCCCCTGACAAAGGCTCTTTATCACTAATTCAATCCTGTAGTATGCCGTCTGTGAGAGGCACTGACAGGGTTTTGGGTAAGTTATCAACAAAGACCTCTGACACTATCACTGAATGACTCTACAATTTAGCAATGGTCTTGGTTAAAATAAAAGATACACTGACACAAGTAATATCTGATTTGTGATTAATACTGCCTCAGAAATACATACAACTCTTGCCCCGGATGGGCTTTGTCTTGTTCAACTGCATGCTGAAAGTGTTCCATTAAAGTATATAATCAGCCAGAAACTATACTAAAGTAAACCCAGAAAAGCAGTGAATCACCAGCCACTCGCTCCGAGATCTCCAGTGTTGTCGTCATTTGCAACGCCAGCGATTCAAGGCTACAAGGTGGAGGAGGAACAGGCAGGGGAGAGGATGAGAATGAGATGCTGCATTGGCATTCAACAGGGATACCTCCTACATCTCATGTTACCTGTCAGCTACCATATGCTCGTTTAGAGGGTGACACACATTTTTGCCATGAGGTGCATATGTTAATGCTGTGCTCAATGGAACAACAAGAAAAGACGTTCACACAGAAATATGTTGACAAGATTAGAAGATTAATCTTTATGTTCTGTCTTTGAGCTAACATGAGAGTGAAGGAGTACTACAAGTACCTAAGTGCATACACATTTACATGCAAACGTCCCACTTAGGTGTACACAAACATGCACACACATGTTTGCTATGTGTCCTTTTCCTCTTTCCATCATCCCACTCACATAACTACTTTGTATGGACACTTAGATTCTATGAGAGGCTGGCATGCAAGCTTATTGGCAACACATTCACCTACTGCGTCACATAGTCAGATGGAAGGGAAAGGGAGGAAGAGTGAGACAATGCGGGAGAGAGAGACATCCTTTTTAACCCATCTGCCAGCCCACAAATAGCTGCCATTTTCTGATGAATGCACAGTTGACGAGGAGCTGAAGCCTAAAGGTATGAGCAGGAAGAATGCTATTATCATACACTAGTGGTACTGGTGAAAATCACACAGGTGAGTGTGCAGAGTGGGAGAATGGATGTTCATTTGTCAGAAGGTAAAATGCTAGAGACAACGGCTCCCCTTTTAAGTGTGCTCTTCCCCTTTCTTTCATGTGTGGAAATCACTGACACATGATTTAAACTGACTTCTTAAAGGGATCTTTATATCAGGCTGTCCTAGACCTAGATAGGGCAGTGAGTCGGGAATAGATAAATAGGTCAAGAGAAATGGAGGGTGGGAGCTAGCTAGAACAACGCACCCATTTCCTGGCTTGTTTGGTGTGTATGAAGGCATTGGAAAAACAATTCAATGAATATTTAAGACAAACCCAATTACTGAACGACCAACACTGATAGCTTTAATTCACAAAGATCTAACAAAATGCACACAAACAGAAGCCCAAGACCTCTCTCTCTGTTACACTCTGTTGTTTCTTACTGTGCCATAACACATTTCTTTTAGCTATAGAGTATGCATGGCTGCACATCCTCCAGTATGGAGTCTTGCTTCACAGAGGCGATTGGTCAAGCTGGCGGTCACATGACATGGATCTCACCCAGGCGAGCAGCAGCAGCGGCAGCAGCATCAGCCCCGGAGAGCCAGAGAGATGCTGACACAGCACACTTGATTGTCAACCTCCCACTAGAAAAGACCTTCAATCTCCATCACATATAGAAGACACACATAAAAGAGACTCATGGTAATGTTGTCAATGCGGTAGGATACCATTTAAGACGTGATAATACATGCCTGAGTAGATTAAAAGACTGTGGTCCTATTCGTTACCTCATAACAGAGACACACGTCTGCTAATACAAACAGATTCTTCTTATCAAAGCATTTCCAACATGGACAGTTTTGTCTTGTGGAGTTGTTGAATTATTTTGAAAGGCGAGGAAGACTGGTCAGCGTTATTACTGTGAGCACTGAGACTGCTGAGGTTCAGGGGGGTCAAATGCTCTAACCAACAGGGTAACTCCCTGTTACTACTCCCAAGATGTGTGAGGCTGAGTCAGCAGAAGGATCTAAACATTATCTGAAGCCTCAGTGAGAACAAATGGATTGTAAGTGAAACTATTAATGAACAGTTATGGACCAGAGGATACAAATACAGCTAAAGTTTAAACCCAACGCCACAGTTAAACACAATCTCCATGGGACGGTTTAAGTAATGATTAAAAACACGAGGGCATTTTCTTCCTCCTGGAAAATAAATGTTGTTGGAAGAAGTAAAAACAAAGAAAGTAGTAGCATGAAAGGAATGCTTGCTGAATGTTTACATAAAGATGCCTCATTAATTTGCACTTACACATATTTGTCCGACCCCTGCCTGCTGATCCTGCACTAACACACCATGGAATGTGTGTGGATCCAAACACACTGTCACTACATTATATATGCAAACACACACTCACATAAATCTCCTTTGTGGGTGGTACTATCAAGGGATATTATCGCCCTTCTTGGTTTCGGGCGAAAACATAAGAAACAGCCTTTTAAAAAACGTAAAGCACCTCTTGAACTGCTTTGATTTATCGAAAGAGGGGAACGTGTTTTACATTTGAAGATAGTCTTCAAATAAATGCAAGATGAAATGACAAAGAACAAGCACAGCATGCTGACCTTTATGGAGCACATACTCCTCCAGATTTTTTTAGAGAAATCAAAAAAGTGTTAATGGATAGTTTTTGAAAAGCACATTATTATACCATCATTGTGTGTCATTTTTGCACATGTGGATGCAGAATTGTTAGTTTCAGCCACGATATACTATGTGGCAAATATACCAGGAAAACTGTGGAAAACCGGAAAACAGAGGTTTCTATGGCACAGCTTTGGCTTTTCTTTCTATACATCTTTCCCTGTGACACCGCCAATGTTTGACACTGCTCAAGGTCACCGGGTCAGATCTGATACTTCTTGCCACAATCCAAAACTCAATGTTTCACCCCCTTTGTTCCTCACTGTGGATAGTTATCCAAAGTTAGGGTTTAGAAATTAAAATCTTATATGAACTTAAGGCTCCATAATGCTGCTGGTGATTATTATCTCACAGGCAGATCCCCTCAGCAGCTCGCTGTTGCGTCTCTTAAAAAAAACAGCGTGAGAGTGATATTATATTCATAACAGCAATGGCTTTCAGTACATGTGGGATGTTCATGGAAATAAGGCTATAAGTGCATACATACACAAACACATGTGAGGAAGAACTGCCTTCTCTGCCAACATGAACACCGTGTCTTCCCACACACATATCCAGAATCAAACCCACACACACAATAATGAGTCACACAGAAAATTAATTTAAAAAAAGACTGGAGCTAGATAAAGCAGCCTGAACCAGCTGACAATGATAGCACAAACAGAGGCTGCAAGGTGTGTCGCCTCCCTCCTAGCCTTCTGAGTGCATGCAAGTCACACAGCCTTGTAATAATAATGACCCAAACCTCCTGCTCCTAATCCCCCCCCTGTACACTCAGCAGAGAACACCCTCTGGCTCAGTGCTGCTTCACAAGCTGCTCTGCCTCTCTGTGAGGTGAACAAACAGGGTGGGGGGAGAGTGGTAAACGCATAAGACCTGTGTAAAAGGTCACAACACATCTATTTCTGTAGGTGGCAGGGGAACTCAGGACCACCCAGGGCAGGTACAGGAGATGAGGAGAGGAAAGGAAAATCCTCCCACATTAACCTCAGATAGATCTTTTTTAGGGAACTACAGAGACATGATAGACCTCCTTTTTTTTAAAGGGTGCTAATATAATCGCATTATTCAAGCAAAGTATGTTAGATAAGTACCAGATGCGAAATACGACCTTCAGGAATGCACGGACTGGATAACCCACGCCTAAGAGCGAGGTGCTTCCCTGCTCACAGCTGATATTACTGCGTAATGAAAACATTGCGCCTTTTCCCAGTTTCCCTCACGTCGCAGCCCACACCGCATCAGTCTGCATCACGCTCACCTATTGACAGGTTCTGTGACAGGAGGTACATTTAATCACATCGTAACTTCACAATTACATGTTTTACCAACTTGAAACGTGAAATCTCGTCTTAAAGAGGATGTTGTATCAGCGTAATGTTGGTAATGCGATGGTCTTTTGCCTAGTTTATGTATTTCCGTGGGCAGGTTGCATTGGGGCAATGCGCCTACACGCTGCCTATGCGGTAGCCTCTGCAATGGACATTACGCACCAACATGAACATGGGGAATTCTATTGTTCCTCAGAATTTCAACGAGTGTACTGACCATTGTCTATTCCATATAATCAACCTAATCAATTGTAATAGAAATCATATCTGCATGGATGAGATTCACATCCTATGTGGGCCAAACAGGGGGTCTCTTCCCTTTGGCCCGGCTAGAATAGCGCACGGAGAGGGTTTGCTTACCTTCCCACCGTTTGGTTGGCGAGCTGTCGCATCCGATTGAATTGCTTCTTCATCTTGAATTTTCTGCGTTAACACCTACTGGGGGAAATATTCCGCATTATTTCTCTCAATATAACGGTCCGTGCTCCACAGAGGTGCAACACAAAATCCAATCTGCCCTGTTTTCCTTCCCTCATCGCAAGCTGCCAACGCCGAAAACCTATTCCACACGATTACATATTTTCTAATGATATTTTTACATCTACATTTGCCCCACTGCCTGCGCAGGGATGCTGGACCAATTCACCGCGGGCAGAGCGCGACAACAGTGACAAGAAGCGGCTGCGCAGCAATGCAGTGTGGGAAATGTAGTAAATCAAGGCTGACGCTCAATAAAGAACCAAATCGAGAGGCTATGAGGCGTGATCACACAGGCGTTTATTTTACTACTTGTTTAAATACAATTTATTAGCCTGCATCTCAGCAGTTGACTACAACAGTGGGATTTGCTGTAGTATGGTGCTAAATTCTTTAACTAGTCGATACAAATACAATTATAATGTATTGGAAAATACCAATGCGTCTGAAACTGGAGGATTGCAATCATAAATATTTAAAAATCTATAAAAAAAGTAAATGGTAAAGATAAAAATATATGTCTTTCGTTTATGTTTTCATAGAGACATTTGTATGTTTTAGATGCTTTTGAGAGATTACGGCAACGTTGTATTTTCTCAGTTTTATCTTACTACACCCCGCTAAGGAATTCACTGCTGTAACTCAGCCTCGCTAAGAGCTCCATCTGGTGTCTTCTACGTGCCAATGCACTTACAATGGTACACATGGGAAACAACAAATTATACATTTCAAAATTGTCAGAAAAGTGGTAAAGGAAGGTAAGTCAGTCGAGGTAATTGTTTGACTTTTAAAGTGATCTAGCTATTTCACTAACATGCTTATTTAGTGTAGTACACTTACATTTCAGTTTAGGTAACTCAAAACAAATGTATACTTAAAAATACTTTTTAAATGAAATGACCACTTAGTTCACACAGAATTATAATTTCAAACAGCTAAATACTTAAGGTTAAATAAATGTTGTTTGTATATTCCAAACAATACATTTATTTAAGTTAAGATATGTGACATTTCCGGTTGCAAATAACAATCAAAGTATAGTGACACAGTTTAAAGTTCATATGCCTTTATTTAGATTTGTATTCCTTAAAAAAAGAAGATGTTACTCATCATGAACAGGAGTTTGCAGTTTGGATTTTTTTCTCTCCCAATATAACTACAAAATCTCTCTCTACAAGGATGACAGAAAACACAGGGTCAGGGTGAAAAGGAGTTGGGGAAAGCTAACCTTCACTGAGGACAGTCATCACCCCACAGATACTTGTACCAAGGCCTCATCACTGTCAGAATTCTGTAACCAATCAAAAACAACATTACAACAAGGGAAAGTCGATCAGTGGTTACAGTATCGTCATCTGTCCTTTTTTCACTGCATATCAGCCTTGCACAGTTCAAAAGCAAGAGTATTAGCAAGCCCAATGTTTGATTCTGACATGTTTACACAGTCCAGTAAAGAACATAGAGAAATTATGCATTAAAGTATTTTACAAGTCTTGTTCTCTAGTAAATCCCAGTGACATGGACTGTAAACAGAGTACATTTAAAGTATAAGATATGATAAGATAAGATAAGATAAGATAGTACTTTATTGATCCCAATTTGGGATTTACTTGTTGTAGCAGCAGCATGGCATTGTATACAAATTAAAAGACAAGAAAAACAAGAAAGTAGAAAATATATATGTTGAATTTACAAATGAACAATAACAAGATATAAAGCAAGGTATTATACGAGAGTATTTGACAGATGGAATATTAAATATTAAACTGAATATATAAATGTAAAATGTACAGTGTGATTTTATTCCAAGAGAAACTATGGAGCAGAGACTTTGGCTTTGCTTTTATCGTTTGGTGATGCTAGCCTACAGTAGCTCAAGTAAAGTGACTTTCACCATCTCCATCTAAAACACAAGTAATGTTTAGTGTCCCCACCAGGTCAACTAGGCACCACATTTAAAGGTCCCATGTCATGGCTATTTCTACTGATCATAATTCCATTGTTGAGGTATACTAAAATAGATTTATATTGAGCAATTTTCCAAAATCACATTGGTTTCTCATCATCTCTGTATAGTATGTGCATTCACTCTCTGTCCTAAAAGGCTTGTTGGAGCTCTCCTGCCCCCCCCCCCCCCGCCCCTCCCTATGAGCCCAGTGGCCGTCGAGACAGCAAGACACAGCCCGAAACCAGCCCAAACACACACACACACCCGCAGCCTGGCTGGGACACCGACTCACAGCCTCGCCGCGTCCCGCTGTCTCAGGGAGAAGAGATCGGGTCCGTGGACGTAAGGTAATGGCTCCACGGATTGGTCCATTTGGGTATGGTCACGTCACTGTACCCAGGAAGAAATTAATGGAAAAAGAGAAATGTCCAACGAGGCGTTCTGGGGCAGCATAGACAGGTATTTTTTCTGTGTTAGAGTTTTACTCGCTACAGGGTGTACTTTGAGGGGTTGTGACTTTGCAGACCGTTTACATGCATAAAACCTTCATAACACACAAGGGAACGGGTAACCGGAAAAGCGTGACACGGGACCTTTAAAACTGAGCTGGTTTTTGCTCATCATATTAATGTAGCCTAGCCTACAAGGTCTAGTAAATAAATAACTATGGATCAAGGCTGCTCGCTTCACCCTGCTGCCACACGCAAACTGTCAGAGTTTCACTACACATAGAGCAGGATTTGTTGGAGGTAAGAGATCACCTCGTAACAAAGTCTACTGACCAATCAAAGCTCCGTGCACAGATCGTAAAACAATATTACATCTGTACGAATGTTAAAGGCCAAATCCTTATGCAATAATGTAAACAGTCATGTAAAGCTCTCCGTTACAGCGGCACAAATAGTCATTACATACACCAGAAGTAGCAGACCTAAATGTAAACACACTAACATTAAGTGTTGCTTTCACTTATGTTAGCTAGTTGAAAGTTTGCTAACATTGGCAGCAGTCAGAAAAACTAACTCACACACGAGTACTTGCTTGATAACTTACCTTCTTATTTTTTTGAATGAGAACATTATACTTTGCGAAATGGTCAAAAACCCTGGCCTCTCTTGCTTTCTCAGTTCTCATTCATAACACTCCGTTCGATGTCTCACTATGGGATGCGCCTCAACGCGTATGCAAACAGAAGCATCAATCTCATTACGCCAATCCTGATTGGCTGGTGATCTTGACGTCTACGTCAGGGAATCCCTATAAGTAGCTTGCGCTACGACGCAGCGTCATTCAAACACCTCTTCTCGCTTCAGAGCACATCTCGAATTATCAGTAGCCGGGCTAGCTTAACGGTCCACAGACTGAACCCAAAGCTAATATTCGGTCGACGGGCGCTTGCCGGTTACTTTTTTGCTTTGCAAGAAGACTGAACAATATTAACACACCAGTTAATATTGTAATCTGCCTCGCCGTTTCTTTCTTTCGAAATTACGGTAAGGTTTGATTTTTTTCTTCAAGCTAGTAACATACCTGCTGTTGCTAGCTTTTCTTCCCTTCACACTGACACCACGGTAGCGAGGAAGTTCTCTTTTCTCTCTCACACCAGAGGAGACGGAGATAAAAACAAAAGGTATTAACACACCAGTTAGTATTCTTTAAAGAATAAAATCTACGCCGTCGCTTTTTCCTTTCGGATTAACGACAAGGTTGGATTTTTTTCTCGGTAACGTACCTCTTACTAGCGTGTCCACTCCACGCCGATACCCTGGCGAACAAAGATGGACCCTTCTCTCCCTCACACCAGAGGAGTCAGGGACTCGGAGGCTCGGCTATGCGGTTGCGGGTTTAAGATCTCAGGCACAGACTCACACCAGGTCTGCTCGTCCTGCCTCGGGCTGGAACACGCCCAGGAGGCTATCGATAACCCCGGCTCGTGCGGGGATTGTGCCCGCTTCACCACTAAGAGCCTCCGCCGATGGCTAGCATGCCAAGCTAGCTCGTCGGGACAGGACCCCCTCATGTCCGCTGATTCGCCGGCCGGCAATCAAGAAATGGTGGCGTCCGCCGCAGAGATTGAGNGGTTTTGATGTAGAGTGGTGAAGCATTAGTGTCCGGTGGGGGGGCATGCGACATGTCACTGGGCAAACCCAGCTGTCTGCATTTCCCCAAGCACAGCCCGCCCAGTGACATGTCGCATGCCCCCCCACCGGACACTAATGCTTCACCACTCTACATCAAAACCCCCTTGGTGTTAACCCGCCATGACCAGTCCCTTGGCAACCCCCCTAGCCTCCCTTCGTCCGCCCCCCCGCCCCCGCCGTGGGCTGCCTGTCCATGTGCCCGAGAGAGAGGACCCCCCAGGCTGACTAGGTAAATACAACACACCCATGGCCACGATGGATGCATCACAGAGTGGCATCTGTATCTCTCCTCTCCTCTAGCTCGCTAGCTCATATTTTCTTTTGCTTTTCCCCCCCTCCCCCTTCAAATTACATACCTCAGATTCTGTAACATCAGGTTGTCCAGGAATGCCTCTCATGGCGGTTGCCTAGCAACAAGGGATGTTGCTGGCTCATACATAGCGCTCGGTTTCAGGCTGGTATTGAGTAGATGATAAATACATGGACAATGCTGCATAATGGCTATCAAAAAGCATATGAATGTATTTATTCTACAGTTTGCAGCTGTTTTCTTTACTAACCAGCAGAATGAAGTTGGAGATTTGTAAGGTTAGTTTTGTAGTACCGTTCTGTTCTGATAAGCTTCTTCCTGCAGTTTCAACAATCTTTCATCTGGACCCAAAGTGCTGATTTTGTATAGAGTGACTGTGGCAGTTTCCTGACTCATATGTCTGCGGTGTTACAAACAGGACAGTGTGAATCATTACTGCAAATCTTTGTCAGCCATCAGAACAAGCTCGCTTGATATCGCTCTGTCTTGAGATCTGGTAGCTCAATGCTTCCCAATCAGATGGATTCTTTTTGGGGAAAGACATCTCAAAGGGACTGCCCGAAATTGCAGTTAATTAGATGTCATATAATCCAAAATGGTTGTCTTTGTGGATGTGAGTTCATATGAGTTTTTGCAACGCTATGTCTATATTATTGAGGATATCCTTATTACAGCCATGAAATCGCAGAAACACGTTATTTAAAGTGAGAAGATAATACAATACCTTCATTAACTACTCTTTGCTTATAGCACAGAATTTAGATTTAGTTGCTCATATATGGTTACATGCAGAATCCCTACCATATTTACGGTGCATCCTCAATACTCTCCGTAAGTAATAATACTGATGTTAATCAAGGTGGTTCCACACAGTGACACACTCATGACTCTGTGGCAGTATTTGTTGCTGGGTACAAATATTTATACCTTCTGTTCTGCTCGGTGTCCTTTTTTGTGAGGAATCCAGTGGAAATCTTACACTGTCGTGAGATCCCAGCTGTCTCTGAACATCATTGGTATTTTTAGATCATGATAAGCTCCTTTATATACAGAGAGGAAGGTAGTTGAACGTTCTTTTTTTATATACTGTGTAACTTACAATACAGCACACAAATAAATATAATTTGTTGATGTTCTATATAACATGCTGAAACTGGAATGTATTGTGCTTTTGTTACACATACACGATTATTATATCAATCTGGATGTAATAATAATAATAATAATAATAATAATAATAATAGTGGTTAAATAAAGATCGGGTTTGTTAGGCTGCACTTTTCTGATTGAAATGCCAACCCAACACTTTGCTTTACAACATGTTCTGGGTTAATTGTATTAATTAATATTGATTACAGTATATGGTAGTATTGGTAACAGTGTTCTTTAACAAAGTCAAACTCATGATGATGGTGATGGTGATGATGATGGTGATGGTGATGATGATGGTGATGATGGCTGCTGTGGCTCTAAAGTAGTGCACATGAGGTATACTGACAGTTACTGTAATACCATTCACACACTAATGTCTCTCTGTCTTTTTCAGTTCATTCAAGAGTAAAGAGCTCTCCCCTGTAATTGGACACAAAGGCATCCAGGTGGCCGGTCCGACAGTCCCCCTCAGCTGTAGTCCTCAGAGCAGCAGCCAGTCCCCCCACTCCATAGAGCACAGTCCACACACCCTGCGCAAAGGTCAGCACCTCTCTCAGTCCGAGTTTACAATGACTGTGTTAACATGCACATATTCCACTATTCCACAATATTTCTAATGCAGCATTTCCTAATCTTGTTATGTGGGATACTGTATGGCCTTATTATTCAGGTTTTAGGATCATTCTTTGCACATGTATACAGCACAGTTTGCAGTGCTGGGATAGAGATCCATGCCAAAAAGATTCTGGTTGGAAGGAGAAACACGCCTACTTTTAAACATTATGAAAGACTTGGAATCAAGAGGATTTTGGAGATTAAAGTTACTTAAAAGGCTTAAGCTAGGATATACTAACCGGGGGGGTTTATGTAAATCATAGTATGCAGGTCTGCATTTAATCAGGAATATTAGTGGAGTATTCGTTTTGATTAGCCGTGTGAACAGCATAGTAGGACTTTTGTCTTTCTCAGAATAAGGTTAAAAGAAAAAAACAATATTTAGTGCTTGCAATCTAAGTCATTGTGGATTTTTGCTAATTGATATCTAACAGGAATTTGACTGTGTTGTGTGCTTTCAGGTTCCAAGAAGTTGGCCCCTGTGCCTCCCAAGGTCCCATACAGCCAGTCTTGCGGGATGTCCGACCAATCAACAGGTCAGCCGTCACCGGTCAGCCTGTCCCCCACACCTCCTAGCACCCCCTCCCCTTATGGACTGGCCTGCCCACCGGGGCAAGTGCCGCCTTGCTCCCCTGGGCAGACCCTGTTTGGGGCGTCCCACTCCCTTTCGTCCCCTCCCTCCCTGACCGGAACGCTCACCAAGTCGCGGCCCGCCCCAAAGCCCAGGCAGAGACCCAGTCTGCCCCCTCCTCAGCCGCCCACAGCCCCCCAGTTGTTCACAGGCTCGGCCATGGCCACAGTCCCCCAGCCCCTGGAGCTGGGCCTCCTGGATGGACTGTCTCCCGGGGAGAGCATGTCTACAGGTAAACACCAGCCATTGGCAACAACACCCCCTCCGCCCCCTCAGGTGGGGCTGCAGCGGCCCTCTCTCAGACTCGCTGTGGCTCTGTCCAATGGAGACGGTGGACGAGTGTAGAACTCTGTAGGACTTGTCATATGTCATGTAGATATAAAAGATCCCCTTACCCTTATTGACTGTTCCCAAGCGAATGTCTGAATGAAAAAAAGTTGCCTTTAGACACAGATGCCTGAAGAATTATGTAAATATAAGCATTGTTGCTGCTACTGTAGTGAGCAAACCTCCTTGACCTATGTATTCATTGCTTGTGTTATGTGATGATGTTTCTGGGTAATGTGTGGAAACATCAGAGAAGCATAGCTCGTCCTGCTTGTATGGAAGTTGCCATTAGATTCATCATGTGCTCTCTGTTTATCTGTGTTACCCAGACCCTCACATGGCAGAGGTAGGTCAGAGGCTTACTTTACAGTCCAGTCTCTCTTACTGCGTAACAGGCGCAAACACCTAGCCAGACAAACCCCACCTTCTATCTACAGTATATGTTCTGATGATGAGGTGTTCTGTCATGATATACCAATCATTCTGTCACTTTGCTATATTTATCATTCTCTTGTTCCCCCCTGCTACTATTGTGTACCTTGCAGCTGTGTGAGGCCAGGGATTCAGTGTGGGCTAAGTGTGAGGGGGACTTTTAGGGTAAGCCAGACCGTCCCCACCCCATGCGCTCCATCTCACTGCCTGGCCTCGTGCTGTGGCTGCCTCTGGGGTCTCCTGCAGCCTGCCTCAAACATCTACCTGTAGCTTTCAATCAGAACACGTTCCCTATTTCCTCTTTGAGCAGGTTGACATTTTTTACTTTTTGCATGGTGTTGCAGTTCAACCGAAAATGCATGGCTTAAGGACTTCCCAGAGTGCACCACACTGCGCTCACATTGCAGACGCCGTCGCTTACAAAAGTCCATCTTAAAGCCCCCCTTCTTTTCGTACCCCATTCCCAGCCCAATGCCAGCAGACATCCCCCTCTAACGCGTCTGCCACTGGTATCGGGGGGGCACAGGTAACCCCCAATCCTCCTTTGGCAGATTCATCGCTTTTTATAACCTCTGCTCCCTCTTACTACACTGCCACGCTCCATCTCATTCCTACACAGGAGTAGTCTCTGCTTGGACCTGCTGCTTCTAGTCAATGCAGCAGCACATTAGGATATATTAAGAGCAAGTATCAGGTCCTTATGAGATTGCCATTGTTACTTCAAGCCCACTTGGTGCCATTCTTCCACAGAGTTCCACACACATCTTGTTGCCTCTGTGTTGGTTTACCTGACCATTGTTGTAACGTGAAAAGTAATGTGTCATTGTGCAGTCATTTTGAGCTGTTATTTTATTTTACCTAGCAAAAATATATGTTGTTGTTGTCTCAAAAGACACAAAAAGCTGTGAAATGCCACACTAGTCATTCAGGTATGACTAGAACACACTGAAACATCCCTGTGTAGAATGTGAAGCACATGTAATCTACTGATTACTTCAATCAGGACAGACATCATATGCCACTTACCATGAGTTCAGTCTCAAAAAGATTAATATTATTTCTGCTCTCTTCCGTTTTTTACACCTCATTATCATCTTCATATGCCCTCTTCTCCTCCTCCTCTTGCTCTTCATCCCCATTCCCACCATTCTGCTCACCATACTCACCTCTCCCACCATGCTCACCATTAGATATCTTCAATTATGAAATCCCCTCCATCAATGTCAATCTGGACAGCCTCATCGATGAGTTCAGCGGTGCCCCTTGCAGGAGGTCCCTGGCAGTGAGAAACTCTCCAGAGGGGGACGCTGTGCCTGAGGAGGAGCCACAGAGCACCACTCTATGACCTTTGACACTAAGGCATCACAGCTAACCAGCACCCCTGTGGCTATACATGCTCTTAACTGTCGCCATCAAGGCCTGATGGAAACACCAATTGGCCTCACCAATGCCCACCTGAAACCACAACTCGAACACATCTGCTACAGGCTGCAAAGAAACTCATCTCTTACAATTGCTTGCTAGAACTTAAATGTGACTACAAAGAAAAACACCAAAATGCCATAGCGGAGAAACAGTTGCCTTTAGGAGGAAAGACTGGAATAAGTATAGTAGAATGAGTATTAAGTTAAGAGATTTTTTTTATTTATTTAGCTTGTTCATCTATGTTCTTTGATGAAGTGGTCTGTATTTTTGTGAGTTTTTTCAATTTATTTTTGCCTTATTAAAACATGCAATCATATTGCAATATGATATTCACAAGTTGTGCAACTTTTGGTAAGGGAAACTCAGAGCCTGACATGGTTAGGAGCAAAGCCCCTCCTCAGGGTGTTCCAGAGAGTAGTCGTGTGTTATTGCTCACAGGGTATTTAAGCTTTGTGCACATTAGGATAATGCTGAGCCGTAGAGACAGGTTTTGCATGCAGGATGAAACGTTTAATGCAGTTTACTTCTTATCGTTATACCCAATCTTTACTTCCCCTCTGCTATCACATATTACAACTGTTCTTTATCTGACATTTACCCTCATACAGGTAAGCTCACTTTAACTCACTTTATACCAGCACAGTATGAGAAGAATGTTACTGTAAATTACATTTCTTTGGACGAAAGCACCACAATGTGTTTGCATGACAAGCCACTATAAACAAACTGCTTCTGATCAAGGGCCTCCGAATGGCAGTATGTTATTTTGTGTGAGTGTGTTGGTTGTTGTTGTCCTTGGAGAGTAAATGTAGACCACCCATGTGCTGTTACAGTTTGATGAAAATTGATGGATGACTTCACTGCCTTTAGGTTCGTATGATTCTCTCTTTTAACCTTGTTTCAAGTGCTTCAGGTTCAGTGACCTTTGACCCCTAATGTAAATACAAAGACTGTACATAAATTGATGTATATAAATCTGAGAGTAAAAGTATATGTAAAAATGCATATTTCAAATATATATAATGATGATATTAATAATAATATATGTGCTGATATTTATCATGTCTAGAAGATGTAATGATTAAAAATGTGCTGTTATTTTTGTCCCTGCACACAATGAACAGGTTTATTGTGGATTCATAATGTTTCTCTTTAACACCAGGTAACAATGATGCTGCAGCAGAAATGCAGAATGTTATTTCTGCTAGAAATCTATTGTGGCTTTTTCTAATTCTGTCTCCTGAGCTTTGACTTCGAATATACTCTAGCACTAATGAGTTGCACACCATTGCCCTATCTTTTCTTCTAAATCAGTTATTTAATAGATTCCTCTGTAAATAATAAGTTTACTTTGAGAAAATTCAGCTCGTTTAATCAATTCATAATGAGGATAATGTAGTCTTTAGCGTATATATTGATGGACCGGCTTACATGTTGTGCTCATTTGAATATAATAGCTAATTTGTCACACTCGCTTTATCACCATATTAAAATGATTTTGTCCTTTGTTGTTATTCTAACTGCAGAGAATTATTCTGATGTTCTTTAAGTTTATCAGATAACCGATACTGCAGTGGAACTTTTTTAATCACCTATCAAATGTTTTAGGACTCATTTTGTCAATTAAAGTGCAATTACAGTGTTTTGAGCCACCTCAGTCCAAAAAGTGTGACCCTCCCCAACCCTAGAGAAGAAAAAGCCATTTGTTTTATTACAAAGCAAGTATTTTCTTTTTTCAGCTATTAATTCTAGATGAACCTTTCTCCAAAAGTGATGGAATGCTCCGTGTGTGTTCTCAATGAACTATGTTTATGAAGATTTTGGTGATGTTGATACTTATATTGATAGTTGTGGTGATTATATGAAAACAATTGCAAGTGCCCTCACTCTGGTTGTTATTTTGGAACTATAGGCATAATTAATGTGTATAGAGGTTTTATTTTCTGTGCTGGAACCATACATTTATACGAGAAAGCAGGGTTTCTCTCTCTGTGTGTGCAGACTGAATGTGAATCACTAAGATTTCCAATGGTAGGCTACCTGATTTTGTAATAGCAAAAAGGCAAATGGACATGGTACATCTGGATGAAGGTTCCTTGTTGGCATGTATTATTATGAGTGCAGAGCAGTATTACTGTAATGCTTTTGTGCATCATAACTTGAACTTAGAGCCACCTAAAAGCATGCATTCCTGTTCATTGTAAGTGTGATTATAATGCTGCTCAAAAGGAAAAAGAACACATGTACCCTCCCCAAAGCTTGAGTCATAATATCATCACATATCTAATTTCAGATCATCTTCCTTTACAGCGATTTTCAATAGCATATTCATAGAGTTACCTTTTGCACCAAATGGTACACTGTAGTTTTATCAAGCATTTTAACTACTGTAGAACTACATTTTATAGCTCACTTTACCACCAAGTATGTTGGTCTAAAGTAAAGCTCAACGTGTTTACATCTGGGAGGAATCTGAAATGGGGGAATCTGAAAAAGTGTCATGCATGCGCTTATAGATAGTCTTTTGATAATCCACGTTTTGTGTCAATCACTGTCTTTTTAGGGATTGTAAGAGGGGTGAAATGTAGAGTTTGACTCTAGAGAATGTGGATCATAATGAATGGTCCTATGTGGGGTTCTGAGCAATACGGTAGAGGAGTGGTTGTTGCCTGTGGATGTACTGCCTCCTTCTGCTTTCACTACTAGTGTACAAAAACAAAACCTGCCGCTTGTCAAGCCCACCATGCCCACCCCTCCCTCCTCTGCTTAGCATATCAAGTGGTACACAGTGTGTACTGTGAAGCCTACCTGCAATCCTTATCAGAATGTCAGAAATAAATATCTATATTAAACTCTACATTTGTAATATCTCACCTGGTTCATGTGGCTTTTTTGCAGTGTTTTGTTTTCCTGGGAAAATAAAGTTTTGGCAAATTGTACAGTTGATGGTCAACACTACTAACTTTACTGGAGTATTTTCAGTATTTCTAAACAACCTAAACGTTGCTATATTTAAAGGAAAAAGTTTGTACTTTTAATTACAATTACATTTGGTGTCATTTGTAAATTAATACATTTACTCATATAGTGCTAAAGTAAGTTGTATTACTTTTATTACTGCTTCATTTGTATACTTCAAGTACATTTTAATGATGATACATAAGTCAACTAGTTAGGTTTTGAATCCAGGACTTTCACTCTGCCTGGACGTTAATTTTGAATGTATTCAACATTATGAACATAATGAAGAAACCTGATTTCTGCTTATTTAAGCAATTTTCTCTCAAACTGTCATTATTTTAACCTGAATAAATCACTATTATACTGTTTTCACTCATTATATATTTGCCTTAAATATTGTTTCTGCTTAGCATTTATAACTAGTTAATCCGGCTCTAACCACTGCCGTGCAAGCCACCAACAAGAATACCATCTTAAAATCTGATTCATCAAATGAAATAATGATTATTCACTTTCTTAGAAATGGGTTTGGCTGCAGAACAGCAGCCAAACAAAGCACTTATATACCAATAAAGAACTGGCCTATCTAAAGCTAGCACTTTAAATGTTTTAGCTCTATGAAATCTGATGTACTTATATGATTCTGTTTTCTTTAAGTTTGTATCTTGTTGGTCGAATGCACTTATTGTAAGTCACTTTGGATAAAAGCGTCAGCTAAACGCGATGTAATGTAATGTAACAGACGCCCCTCAGGTGTGTAACCTGTAGGACCAGCCCAGCAGGATGGCTGAGGGATTACCACAGGAGGAAACTAGGAGTGTACACATGTGTCATGGTGTCACTCTGCCTTTCTCTTTGTTTGACCTCATTGTTTCAAGATCAAGTCTTTTTTCAAAGAAACCAATGATTGTGTTATTTCTACTTGTTATATAACTTATGTTGTTACTTTTTTTCCCCTTTCTTCTCCATCTTAATCTTGGTTCTTTAGACAGACAACTAATCTAATGCCACAGTATAGGCGGCGTATCTTCTTACAGAAAACAGCCAGGCAGAGCTCATTACTACCTGCTACAGTATATCTCCTTCAGACTGCACAGGGTGCATCAATTATTTCTTAAAGGTGTCTCTGTCTACAGCGTCTTTATACACACTACAACGTGAGCCGTCTATATATGTAACTGTGTATCTAACTCCCTTCAATCTTCTTATCAAACATTTTCATTTAGCATGTGTAAAATTAAAGTCTAAAAATGAAATGTGGAACATAACATTGACTTGCGCTGCTTTAACAACAATGGGATTAGGGTTACATGGTTTTTATTGCACTTTTTCTGGCAGGCCCCTTTTTTTGGTTGTTGAAATAATTCTAAGATGTTCAATCGTTTTGGATTTAGTAACCTTTGAGTGTGCTTTGAAATTGTTAGGATGTATTGCATTTTGATTCTAATCAAACATGTCGAACATGTCACAGACAGGAATGCAAAATAAAAGACTGTCAAAGCTTCAACCTTGACTTGACATTACTAGACTGTTGCTTGCTGCACACAAAGGGGCATACACCTTCTGACTTCTGACCTGAAAACTAGGAGAGGAATCACGATACTTATATCTTAAACCCACTTTTCAACTCAAAATATTAACTTAATTGAACATTTTTTTAACTTTTTGATTCTGTAAGGAAATGTCTTATTTTCATCAGAAAGACAAAACACATTTATTCACACATTTCATTGCTTAGCAACCATAAACTTAATTCCATGGATAAGAATATATTCGCTATAATTGTCAATGTATCATCCCCTATTGGCACATCATAATCCATACACCCACATCACGGTACTATGCCAACAAAATCCAGGGTAGCGTTGCAGCCACTAGTGCCAGTATAGTAAAAGCTGAGAGCAGAACGATAAGGCATCTTGCAGTGGTGCAAATCCTGCGCCTTCGCCTCTGCCTGCGCTGCGGTGGAACCACAGTCATCACAACACTAAGCGCATCGTCTTCTGCCATGGGTCGCCCTTGAGCGCTTATGACAAATATTTGAGATGCTTTATGGCTGGGGCAGATCAACCTCTGTCGGCGGATTCGTTCAGACATTTCCCTGAAGCAGCGATATATCCAATTAAGTTCTACCGGCAAACTGGAGCTGCGCCGTGCGCTCTGGATGTGTCTCGGTGATGGAGGCAGGGGCACCTCCAGGGTCTGCCCTCCACCTGAATCCTTGTCCATCGTAAGGGACACAAGCGCTTCCTTTTGTTTCTTGATGAATGTAAGATGTCGGCAGATAGGGCAAACAATAGTGTCTCTGATATTTCCATCGCCATTGATGCTGACCAGCGTTTTGACCAGGCAGTCGTGACAGAACACATGTCCGCAGCTCAGAGTCCTCTCTGTGCCCGAGAGACACTCATAACACACCGGGCACTCTGGTGCGTCCTCTTGACTATCTTCCTTAGGAAATTCCATTGAATGACAATTAGCCACTGCAGCCAATTGTTGACTACAAGTTGAATCCTTTGAAAATGTAGACTGAATTCCCTCAGCGCATATCTTTAGCAGAGGGTGGAGGCAAGAGCTGCGCCTTGTCAAACCGGGCCAGCCACCTCTGACTGCAGGGCCTTCACTGATTGGGTCCCCGGAAGACACCACGGTTCAAGTGGCCAAGCTGGTTTGCATTTCATGTTCTCCATACTGCACTGCTTGCTAACGTGCATTCCTTAAATATGAGCAAAACTAGAACATCCTTTTCAGTTGTGTTAATGTGAGTCACTGCAAATTAAAAGATGTTCAACAAAACAGCAAGAACTTATTTTTCTTTCATCAATATTGTGTTTTTAGGCTAAGGCTGTTTTGGGGGTTTAGGACCAATGTTAAGTCTGAGGCATTTTTTTTTAAATGGTGTCAAGAGCCCATGTTACTTTCGAGGTTCTAACTTTACTTGAGTATTTCCATTTGATACTTTGTTGGTACTTCTACTCCACTACAATTCATTGGTAAATCGTGTAGCCTACTCTATACTACATTTATTTGGTATCCCTTAGCTTACATACTTGGATAAATAATGTGAAATGTAAATAACACTTAAATAAGACTTTAGTTAGACCTGGAGTAAAATTCAAAAGCTACCCAGCAATATACAAAGTCATTAAAACTAGCTGAATCTTTACCAGTTTTGATAACACTCTAGTGCATCAATAATTATAATCAAAACATATAATATATTATTCTGAAATTGACCAATTTGCATTGGAATACTTTTACTTTTGGTACTTTAAGTATATTTTGAGGTTGATACTTTTTTACTTTTACTTGAGTAACCTTTTGATTGCAGGACTTTTACAGTAGGCCTACTTATAACAGAGTAGGCCTATACACTCTGGTACTTTTACTTGTTTTATCTGAGTACTTCTCCCACCTCTGCAATAGCCTAAATTCTAGTCTAACCTATTTTCAGCTCACAGAAAAAATCGTAAACAGAAAAAGTCATACAAAAATGTAACATGAAGAAATTCTGAGTTCGGAGTCCCTGTTTGGTGGTTTCTGGCAATCGTATGCCACCCTGTGGTCACTGTAGTTAAAAGTAGGCTATGTAGAATTACATCTAGTCAGAAAAAAGGTGCGGCGGGTTCTGGTACATCTATTTCTAGAGCAGCCCTGCCCAGTTTCGACGTAAACGTGAATTACGTCAGCACGTTTTCCCGTCAGGATTTACGTCGCTTCCGGGAGACGCGTTGGCAATTTCCTAAACACAGCTCAGTCACTAATATCCGAGGCCAGAGCAGGGGAGAGGTGTGTGTTGGATATAACACCGGCTGGAAGGCGACCCCCTGAAACAGAAGATAGCTGGACATCGATTTGACATGAGCAGGTAACGAATTTAACCGTATACATGATTTCGTTTTAACGTCTGACATGTTAGAGTGTCGCGTTCAGCTGTTTGAAAACCGAGATGACAGCTCGAGCCCGGCTTTAATGTCCAGAGACATTTTCGCCTTGAAATTTCGCTTTCTTCATTTTAACGTTTTGTATGTGGTAATATCCGCATTCTTTTAACAGCATTTAGTGGCATTATCCCAAGCTTGTGTACCGTCTGTCAAACAACGCAGTTTTATAAATATCCACACATTGACGACAGCGTTTATTAGCTAACATACCTACAGCTAAATGATAACCTGCCGCTATTCAGATACAATTGATCAATTAAATAAATGGCAGTGTAATGATTGTTATTTCGAAAAGGTGTGTATTATCTGTAAGTGGCAGTTATTTGTGATGCATGTCAATTGTTATTTGGGGGCTTTTGGTGATGATTCTGATAACATAGTATGATTGTTATCCTTTTGATTTTGCTCAGCTAAATGAAGTGTCCTCTCGAAGCTAAAGCACAACACAAAGGACCAAACATAGTCAGGGGAACACTACCACCACACCCTGTGAAGCTGTACGTCTGATTATTATTCTCATTAGAGCAAACCAATAACACTACAGTTGGATTTGACTCAGCCCCCTCTTAGGCCCCGTTATAAAAAAAAAAATACTCCATCTGAGTCAGCAGTTAAACTCTTAGTAAGCACAGAGTCATCTTCAACAAAAGAGGATGTAGAAACAACAATGTGGGAAAGGATACTCTCTCCTTGCTACCTTCCCATGTCTGTAAGTTCCAGATGGCTCCACACAGTAAGTGAGGTTCTCCCCTCCATCTTTGCTAGCTGTGTGTTTGTAACAACAGATAAACAGAGCCAGGGGTCAAACTGACACCGCTCCAAAGGATGCTGAAATGAGAGATAAAAGGAACTGTCATTTGTACTCAGCACTTGAGCTGTTACACTATGTAACTGAACCTTTTTGTTCCAATCTTAGTGGTGTATCATGTTACCAGTACAGCACCATGGTGTCCACATCTGTGCTAAATATGTGAGACTGCTTCGGTAGCTCCTGTCATGTCAGTGGGCGGACACAAATAAATAACCAATTTGACTGTTAAGGCCTTTTGATCTGAATCACCATGGGAACAGTTGCCTGTCGCTCATGCCTTTTTGAAGACTCACAGGGATCAGTAGAAAACACCAGATCCCATTTACACCCATCAGCATCACAACACACGAGTTTGCTAGATTCCCTTATCATATGACACATCTAACATGTTATGTCAGTAGCAGCTTGAGGACCTTTCCCTCTCTTGATCCTCTGGGTGTTTTGGTTTCCAGTTTCCTTTGTGTTTTCAAAGAACTGACACATAAGCGGCCTTTTGCAAGTAAATTGTTGATGACGCCACCCCAGAGGAATGTTTAAGGGTAGAGCAGGCGAAGAGTCTGCGTCCCTCTGAGTCAAAACTAACACGCCCTCCTCCTCCTCCTCCTCCTCCTCGCCTAAGCCCGAGACATGCTTGTCAAGTCAAAAGAATACCTTTCTCAAACTGTTGAGCGTAGTTAGCTTAACCTTCAGTCCAGCTGAGAGGTTTCCTGTGCTGCGTTCACTGGCTGTCTGACCTATCAGCAGGAACTCCTTGTAGGTTAGTATCTGTCCGGATTATGAATATTCCTGGAGGTACAGCAATGTGAGTAGCAGCTGTATACCCCCCCCCCACACACACAAAACAGCTCCTACCAGATGTGTTTAATCATTTCCTGCCTTTTTGGTCCACAGAGATCACAGGCAGAGTTTATTAGCTCACCAGGAAAGAGGAACACACTTCTAGTGAAGCGTTGTTTCCGCTAACGGGACGGAAGAGGAGGCATTTTAAACATTAAAGTCATTTGGACCTCACATGAGCGGTAATGTAATGACACTTCATAAAGAAGACACACTTCTACTATGCACTGCACACATATCGTTGAGTCTATTCAGTTGTAAAAAGAAAAACTCTCATGTTTGGCACTTTATCCAAACCCAGCTTCTAAATAATTGGGTGACTTTTCCCTTAAGACACTATACTCAGTGATGCATGAGTAACTGAGGAGGACATGACCTCAGAGCGGCTCGGTGACATGGCCAGGCTGATCTGGCTTTGTTTGCTACTTCCAATCAAAAAAAAAGAGCTGTCTCTTCTGTTATCTTCTGCAGTGAGGAATGAGGGAATGTTTTTAAATCTTGATCCGCCCCGTGGTTCAGCTCTGAGATTAGACGGGAATGCACTGTGCATGTTTCTACATGCAAAAGGATGCTAATAGTGAAATGATTTCACCAGGTTAGAGCCACGCTGGTTTGTTTTGTACACTGTTGTTGTTGTTCCTGTTTTAACCCCATGGTAGGGCTGCTCGATTATGGCAAAAATTATAATCTCGATTATTTGGGTCAATAATTGTAATTGTGATTATTAAATGCGATTATTCATTGACTTTGAAAACATCCATTTATTGGATAAAATAAAAAATAAAAATGTGAACAGTATGTTTTTAACAGTTGATTACCCTTGTAAGTATAATTCAACTGAAAAACCCCAACAAAAAAAAAAGTATTTAAAAAAAAAAAAAAAAAAAAAAAGTAATAATAATAATTTAAAAAATAGTTTTATTTTGATTACGTTGTTTTCATAATCGTTGCAAGCCATAATCGTAATCGCGATTAAAATACGATGAATTGAGCAGCCCTACCCCATGGCCACTAGCCAATTGCTTGCTTCCCATAATATGTACTTGTGAGTTGCTGTGAGTCTAATACATCTGTCTTTTTGTTCCTCAGGGTGCCCTGACATGGACAAAGAGATGATTCCCAAATTTACGTCAAAGGATGAGGAAGTTGATTACTGGAAGTCCCAAGCCCTCAAATATAAGAAAAGGTAAGCAAGTGTGATTTACTTCTCATTTCACAAGTTATCAAATCAAGTTATCTTCTCTACTTTTTGTGCTGTTCGTCAGCTGTTTGCCAGCCAAGCTCAATCTTCCAAAAAGGGTTATGTAACAATGTTTTATATTTTAACGTGTGACCTGTCTTTCCAAATCTTTGAATCAAATAGAAGATGGCAGCAAACCCAAACTGAAATAAGCAAACTCAGACAACCCTCGAAAACAGCAGGAGATGAATACGTTTAAAAAGAAGTCACTCATTGCTACATAATAGGCAGATTTTAAAATGCTGAATATGTAGTTTTCCTGATGTGTCACTGTTTAAAGTTTCATCACAAAAAGCCGCGTTGAGCCTTATAAGGCAAATGAAAAGACAGGCTTTTTTTAAAGTCAGCTGTGGCTTGCTCAGGAGGAAATGACAACATCTGCTCAGTCTGTGTTTGGAGTAGGCAGCCGTGGTGCTTTGGGTTGTTGTTTGTAAATCTTTGTTGAACTCAGTCTGTCTGTCTTTTCTATTTATGGACTTGGGGCCCATCATACTCTCAAAGGAAGTGTAAACCGGCGCAGTGAGGGTTAAAGTCCTGCTGGGTTTCTAAGAAATTCCTCATGTGGGTACACAGCGGAAAAATCTCCAGCCCACGGAAAAAGAACTCCATGTTTACAGTGGCGTGTCTCACACATGTTTTGGTTCATGCAGTTTCTCAGGATCACGTTAGCAGCAATCCGCTCACTGTGGCAGCAGGCAGCGTTTATTAGTAACCTATTGAAAGGTTATCTCCCAGAAGAGATGTTTTACTTTTCCGCTTTACCTCGACAAGGACACTTGGACATAATACAGTTTATAATTAAACTGAACACTGACATCTTTTATTTTTTCATTTTTATTAATTTATCACATTTACAAGCACACACAGAACAAAAAAACAACCCAAAAATAATTAGAAAAAACTGACATGTAGCACTTCAATTAAAGTAAGTAAGATTAATACTAATAACAATAATAAATGATCAAATAAAACATTTAAATTGTTAATAAACATTTTTTGAAAAAATTAATTAATTAATTTTAAATGCTTGACCAGCATTCATGAATTGAATGCTGTTCTGCGTCACGCGTCCAGAGTGCTGTGGGTTGTTGGAAACCATGAAAGGCGTATGAAAGTTATTCTGCAGGACGCAGCGTGCTGATGAAGCAGCCGCTGTGGCGTTGGTATGTGTTCAACGACCCCGCCACAACAACTGATTCATGGATTCCAGAGTAGAGCCACTGTGAGGCCATTATCCCAGCACAAATCAGCTGATCTGAGAACAGTGTTAACCACAGTGTCATCATTGGAAAAAGGTTAGGATACATTTGCATTACATTAATCACCACAACATTTATTTTTACTTTATTTTCTATTTGAAATGTGTACTTCCACACGTGTTCCATTATGAGTTATTGTGTGTGTTTTGAAGATGCTCTGCATGGGGTCATCCCTGACTACGGTGTCCTCTTCCTGTTCCTGCACCCTCTCATTTTCTCCCCACCTTTTAACCTCTCCCACAGGACTCTTTGACAGCAGGCCTGTTTTTCAAGCTACCTCTGAACCTCATACTGTCAGCTGTCTCTTTAGGGCTGTATATTTAGAATGCTTAACTCGTCAGCACTGAGATTCCTGTTTGGCAGCGGCAAAGTTGAAGGTTAAAAATCTACAAATGTCTGACGGGGCTTTTTATGCAGGTTTATTCCTGGCCATTGGAGATGAAGCTGCGAGAACATGCCTGAGCCTGGCTCATCTTGCGGGACAAAAGCCAGCCCGTTTCTAGAGCTCAGGCCTGTGGTCATTCAGCCAGTCAGCGATACAGAGCTGAATGGTGGCAGTGAACAGGGCAGCTGGTAATTGACAGTGATTGTTTACGTGTGTCCTCACAGTTGCTACGATGCCCAGGAGGAGCTGCAGGAGTTCCAGGAGGGGAGCCGGGAGCTGGAGGCCGAGCTGGAGGCGCAGCTGAGTCAGGCCGAACACCGCCTTCGAGACCTCCAGATCGAAAATGAGAGACTGAAGAACGAGGTGGTCAACCTCAAGGTAACTGGTTCTGGTGACTTGCCATGTGGTTCATATTTTAGGACTTGGCTTGGGTTTTTATGATCTATTGACCAATAAAGTCATTTGCGGTCTTAGGAGGTTATCTGATCTCTGTTGGATCCCGAGGACAGAGTTCAATGTCTTATTTGAATGTAGGCGTTAACAAGTCGTGAGGTAATCCTCCGGCACTCTTTCATTGGATTGGAAGAAAATAGAGAACTGCAAAGACAAGTCTGGTTCTTAATCAATACAGGCATGAACAGTGGTCAGATGTATTCAATGTGCTGTAGTCACGCTCACATGTTTATAGGTAAACCAATGGCTGTGTATGCATTCAGGATAAACACCGTATACAGAGCAGAACAGTATTGTGATGTTTCCCATGGCCCCATCATGTGAGTGTGATTACAGCAGCTCATGCTGAAAACAGACGGTGTCAATGAACCAGAAAATACTGTGAATCATGCTTTGTGCCTCAGGGGCCACAACACTAGCATGCTAACTGTACTGTAAAGTGCCACAGGGCAAATAAGAGGCTCTATAACCATAACATAATGTGTGGGAGATCATCTTTACTAACTGTCTTGTGATTCACCAGGTTGTCATCATAACAGTAGGAGTACTGATGATTACTGTTTAGTATATAATACGGTACTTTCCCACTGCGTGACCCATAAACATTTAATGAAAGTACAGTTTCTTTCCTTGTCTTTTCTCCACACATTCACTCCCATGTCCTTTTCTTTCCCCCTCACACAGGAGAAGCTGGAGCATCAGCATGCGCAGAGTTATAAGCAGGTTTCTATGCTGGAGGACGACCTGGGCCAGACACGCAGCATCAAAGATCAGCTCAACAAATACGTCCGAGAGCTGGAGCAGGCCAACGACGACCTGGAGAGAGCCAAGAGGTCAGACTGACTCTTCTTGCTCAATATGGGGGGACGAGGGGGGACTGAGGAGAGATGACTTCTAGCGTGGTATTTAGAGTCTTGCAACGCTCTTGGACCTTAAGGACAGAAACATGTTTTAACAAGGTCGCCCCTGCCAATCTCTGAGCGTATGTGCAGCGCAACGTTGTTTCGTCTGAGAGACTGTCGCAGCCGTCCTAAGACAGGCCATTTGAGATGGGAAATGCCCTTCCTGAAAGGAGACGTAGACGGGAAGGAGACTCTTCTCGGAGTCGGG